CTGGTAATCACTGGGTGTTAGCTTTTATATAAGGTTCGTGTTAACGCAAGAACTCCCAGCACGGAGAGACTGCTTCATAAGGACGGGAAGCATCTTTCATTCTGATTGCAAATGCGCTGGAGTAGAGAACTGAGGTGTATAAATTTGGTGGGGGGGGTGATGACCTGAAAAATGGGGATTGCGGCAATAGAGACGACAAATGAGGATTTAGCTGGGTGGTCTTCGTTTGCAAGGTGAGGAGCAGGGGTGACCTGGTGTTGTCTGGGGAGGTCAGGACTGCTACCCTCCCCTGGTACCTGCGTCTTTGAAATACTGGCTTTGGCTCGACAGGCGCCCTACCCCACCTGCCAGTCATCTCTGTCTTCCACCGCTACTTTCATCACTGAGCCTGGAGGGTCCAGGATAAGGGTCAGCACTGCCTCCAGCCACAAGTTACCCCAGAATATTAAGCTGTGGTGGGAAAGGTCCCCAGATCTAGGCTGACATTACTGCTGGGGACCCAGAAGCAGAGAGACAAGCTGCACTGTAAAAACTGAGTCCCTTTGCTGGCTCCGTGGGTTGTCAGAGCTGTGGGATTTAGCCTTTTCGCATAACTACTCCCCAGAGGAGAATGCCTTAAAGGGGAGACGGTGATACGGGCAAGACATTTGGAATAATTGGCCCTCTTCTCACTGTACCACAGGCTGAGGTTTAGAGAGAAAGGGATTGAAAGGAAAAGATCCCATTTGGATAGAGATAACAGTCGAGGACTGAAGAGCTAACAAGGAGCTCAGCCTTCTAAGGCAATGCTGTGTGGTTTCTCATCTCCCATCTCCCAGGGGGAGGCTGGCACTGGCCCCCTGCCCTGCAGACCCCGGGCTCCCAGTGGACCCCCCCCCCACGCACACTGCCTCCTTTCCTCTCCACCGGCAAAGCGAGGCTGTTTTATAGAAATGAAAGCCATGTGCACCAGCACCGGAGCAGTTTTGTTTATGAAACTGTCTCACTTCTTTGCCGTTGTCCACTGTGACTATATTTGCCTCCACTTTACTGAAAGTCTAACGCTGCCATGGCCGGGCAGAGCCAACTGCCCCCCCTGGCCCTCAGCGCCTGGAGGAGGAATCTGCACTCGCCCCTGCCAGGCGGCAGGTGGCAGAGACAATCCCTCTCACTCCCCATGCCAGGAATGGGCAGCCTCCTGGTGGGAGGCAGGCAACCGGGTTAGTGACAGGTGCCCACAGCTACTTCTTTATCACGTTATGACAAAGCGGGGATGGGCTGCAAGAAGCTGACGGAGGCATTGATTTTACCCTGTCTGGACTTCCACAGGCCCCGAAGTTTCTGTGCTCTCCTTTCTCTTTCAGGAGTCTGTTGCTATAGGAACCGGGAGGATTGATTTAATTGTCTCTATTGGGATGCAGACACCTTTAGGCTTTTCTCATGCTGAAGATGAACCAGTCACAAGGTTTTCTGGTCACCTGGGATCTTGACAAGGCCGGCAGAAGGCACAGTCAGTCTCTCTACTCACTGAGCTTACAGGACTGTTCCCCTTTCTCAGAAGCTGGGTACCCAGCTCAAGAAAGTGCCAACAGCAGGGCAGCATTGGTGAAGCAGAGAGCCAAGGGGGTAGAGATGATTTATAAAATAATGGAAGATTTTAAAATGTTTAAGGTCAATTTATTCCAAAGTATGTATTGAGCACCTATTGCGAGTCAAGATCTGGGTCACAATGTTTGGTATTTATAACAGAATTTGGAACTTTCCCTACTGTGGTATGAATCCAAATATGCGTATAGGGGTCGGCTTTCTCTTTAGCCATTTGAACTGGTTTCAGGAAGGACCCTGAGTAGCAGTCATTAGGGGTGCTGATGATTTCATTGGCATCTGAGTTTTGAGGCTGAGGAGGCCTCCTGGTCTACCCGCTTACTTTTAAGGTTTATCCCATTTGAAGCCTAAAACAAATTGGACTGAATGGCTTACAAATTGCTTCTCTTCTAGGATGGTGCAGATAATTGAGCTTCTAGCTGTTGTTCTGTTTAAATGAACGTACGTTCTCTTCAAATAGCTCTTTCGCTTTTTACCCTTACTACTTGATTTTTTTTTTTTTGGTGGGGAGGGGAAAGAGGAGAGATATAAAACATGTATGCCTCCACCCTCGGAAAGCCTGAAAGAGGAATGGGAAGTTTGGGGTCACACACAAGACAATGGAAGAGACTCTTTGTTCTATCAAGGAAAAGTATAATGTAGTAGTTTTGGCTAATAAAATGGAAGTAATAATAATACCTTTTTCATCATTGAATATATCATTACCCAAGTATAGTCAACGCTCAATTGTGTGCCCAAGTCCAGGGAAAATCCCAAAATGTCATCTCATGTCACAGTCTGATTCCACTCCATTCCCATCATAATATCATCTCATCAGAGCTGCTAACAGATTGTATATAAAACGCATTTTGGATTTACTTCTCTCTATCTGCCCAATCTCTGGTTGGGATTTAACAAATGTCTGAAAGGCAGGTGGCAGGAGAGACCTGGGTAATACAGAGACTGAATCATTAATTCCCAGATAACTGGGCGTGGGCTATGGAGTTAATATATACAGCTGAACAGTTTTAATTTTGTGTCACACTGATCAAACATAAAGGAGACCAATGCTTTTGACATTAATAACCCTCCTGGTTTCAATCGAAAGGAGGGTGAAATATTAACTGAGAAGCAGGTTTGCCAAATGGAATAGCTGCAAATATTTTCCAGAAAAGTTTATCACCTGGCATCATCACCCGATTTCGTAGGTCTTGCCAAGATAAACACAGAGATGTGGACAGACTGATGGGGGGTTGGNGGGAAAATGCTTTTGAACTTGGAGCAAGGTACCAAGGTGGGCAGGGAGGCCACGTGCAGATTTGAAGGCAAGCCAGATGGAGAGAAGTTCCCCCCAAATCACCCAACCCCAAACCCAAGAACACCAAAACAAACTCTAAGGGATCTAGCAGCAGCAGCAGCACAGCCTCATCGCGCTGAGCGATTTAGAAAGTGGAGGGAGGAAGGAGGGGAAGNGTGGGCTATGGAGTTAATATATACAGCTGAACAGTTTTAATTTTGTGTCACACTGATCAAACATAAAGGAGACCAATGCTTTTGACATTAATAACCCTCCTGGTTTCAATCGAAAGGAGGGTGAAATATTAACTGAGAAGCAGGTTTGCCAAATGGAATAGCTGCAAATATTTTCCAGAAAAGTTTATCACCTGGCATCATCACCCGATTTCGTAGGTCTTGCCAAGATAAACACAGAGATGTGGACAGACTGATGGGGGGTTGGGTGTGGGGGGGTGGTAATNAAATAAATAAAACCACAAACAGAACAATATAAATAAAACTTAAACAAAAAACAACCAGTAACAGAATAAAATTTGTAACTCCTTTTTTTTTAATGTCACGCAAGTTTTCACAAGGACAACGTTCTAGGAGACCCCCAGCGGCGGCTAGGTCATGCAGAGCCGTGAGTTGTCATACCTTGGCCCATCCTATTCATCCTTGTCGCACTTTAGAGAGAGAAGTAAGCTAGGTGAGTTTTACAGCGCTTTGAAACGGACATATTTCCTGTTGAGCACTTTCACTGGCACATTCTTATTGTTACAAATGTTCTGAGGGCACAACTCTGTAACCTCCTCTGCGAACAATGCACGGAGAGCTCTTCACGCTCCCAAACGAGGGGACATGTGTGTGTGTGTATATACGCACATATATACGTGTATATATGTGGGTACATAGAGAGATATTCACAGAGTCAGATATAAAAAGACAGGTAGTAAGACGTAATATAGAAATCCATATCTAGGGACAAAAATAATTTGGAAAAAAACCCTTCCACTCATAGGGCTTTCTGGTACACACGGGTATAACCATTCCCCACCCTCCACTGGCCTGAGGACTGCACAGCCCTGCCTTTGGTGTGGGGGTCCAGGTTCTGACTGCGCCTCACCGTTTTGTCAGTAAAAGTGCTTGTCAAATCACACAGCAAGCAAATCTCCAAAACTATCATGCTT